TTATATTACAAATGTGAGTTACTACACTTTATGCCATGTTACTTGCTCGCAAATGTGAGTTACCATCCTTTATGCCATGTTTCTTATTTGTTTATTTGTTCACTAGCACTTTCTCTACATTCCCCTTCAGCCCCTCCCCTACGCCAATTACATTCTTATTATTTTTACTACTACTATTACAAATATTATTGTTCTCTGTTGTCTAGATACCGTGATTCTGAGTAAAAGCTAGATTTTTCTCTGCAAGACCCTAGAATCTACGTCCATTATAAGAACTGCTGCACACGCCTATTAAAAAATAAGAATAAAAAATTCGCAAATTTTGAATATTTCCTGGATGAGAAATATGACCACATTCATTCCTGTTCTTCGATCAATTTTTTTAACAACTGTCAAAATCCTCTTACCGTTCATCGGTGACAGATGGCACTTGCGAGGCTGTTTCTCCGACAAGTCTGATAGCTTCATGAATATCTTTGTAGCGATTCTCCTCCAGCTCACGCTCACGGCGCAGCTGCGACATCTTCGTTTCCAGCAACTCCTATAGTAGAACTTTCAAATTCGTATATTTTTTAGCTACAGATTTCTGCTCTAAGAAAGAAAAGTGTGCTACCTTCCAGAAGATATATCTTTTGTGGTGTAAAAACAGAACACCATGTATTTATATAAACTCTCAATAGCACAATGAAAAGAGGAAGGGGCAACTTTTTATCCTAAAAAAGTGTCAAAGTTGAAAAAGAAATGATAGAAAGAAGCAAAATCCAGGAAAAAGGGGAAAAATTAACGAAAAAAGTGTGAAAATTTGCTAAAAAAAACACTCAGACCAGCTGAAACTATACAACTGTAACAAATGCCGAGGAAGGCAACTGAAGAAAATTAGCGTTAAAACGTCCAAAAATTCAAAAGTGTCAACTTTCGAGGTAAAAAATCTATGATTCCTAATCACAGCGATTTTCGATTCACCAGTGATTGAACTCTGTTTTCTCCCACAAGCAGAAAAAAATACCTTTTCACGTCTTAGTCGGTCGAGACTGAGTTCAGCTTGTTCCGGACTGTGCTGCCTACCATCGATATCCCACTTCACGTCACTCTGTAGAAAATATTTTAAAGCATCTTCTAGCAGAAATGAAGTTCCACTGAGCATTGGCAATTGATCTGGGCTCCCAGCCGGCAAGGTACCTCAACATGGTCTAAGGATTGTTAAGGTCAAAAAAGGTAATGCCCAAGACATACTAATGATGTCTCGAAACTGTTGAAATCTCATAAAAACGCATTTGCCGGGAGACCTCTGAGGTGGTAAACCCCTCTGGGAAGTGAAACAAATGCCAGGATGCAGCTCTGGCTAAAATAACTAGAAAAAAGGCATAACTGAAGAAGGACATTACGAGATGCAGATTATCAAAGTACCCGAGCTAACTGTTCCCGGAAAACATACATCCAAGTCATTAAAAAAAATAGACAAGACTAATGGACAAGACAATTTTTTCTACTAAATCTTCGTATTTCCCCCATGAATATTAGCCTTTCTTTTGTATATCCGTCCTATTTTAATCAAACTATAACTTATATGCCCTATGCCTGCTGAATACTATTTTATTATTTCGCAGGACCCTGCCCACTGCTCCTCAGTCGAATGCTCATTCCTTAGCAGTCCAAAATATAAAAACAAAAATATCCTTAAAAATATATGCAAGATACCTCAGTGCGGTGCGCGAATGGTCGATACTCGTAAGTTTTCGATATGAAATAGGATGGAAGGGCGAGCATTAGTTGTCCAACAGCCTGCGTCAGACCCCACGCTGAAGCAATTATGTCAGCGAGACTGCCGAGAATGTAATAGGCTGAAAATTCCGAAATCAGACACCTGCAGTATAAAAAGTTCGTTTTTATGCATATTGTGCTGTGTAACAGCAGTACAAAACGCATATTGTCACCGGGTTGTCTGTGTGTTTATGTGTGTGTGTGTGTGTGTGTGTGTGTGT